AGAATCCACGCCGTGCTCAGCCAAACCCAACGACGATGAAGTTCCAACGTCGCGAGGCTGAACGACGAGCGCCTGTCCAAGCGACTATTCTATTAGCAACATAGCTATTGATGCTCGTGAATAAGGCAAACCAAGGCGTCACTATAAGGGACCCTGAAGACCTCCCGAAAGCATCTTCAATTCAACCCTGAGACCCGAGTGGACCTCGCTCATGATCGGAAGATCTGGAGAGGAGCAGTGAGGACTGGAGCAGCAATCTTCGAAGCCAACCAGACAGCCACCGTCAATGCAAAAAGAGCGGTTCCAAGCCTCAAGCGTTGTGCACCAGCGACTCAAGCACCTATCCAGTTCCATCGCGTTCACCAAGTCAACAGACATTCTGCACTCCGTCTGGAATCGTCCCGGCATCCTATTCAACACAAAACTTATACCTGCTGAACTGTTGTCTGACAACGTCATCGTATGTAGTGGAGATCAGAACTGTTTATGAAAGTAAAGGAAGAAATTTAAACCATTTTCGCCTCCAGTTGCACCCCAAGAATCCTGAGGTCAAAGTGACAGAAATAGGATCCCCCGACACTGACATCGTGGAAACAACCACATCCCAGTATCCATGTCATGTTGTGACTGATTGAGTTGTGATGTAGTGGTTACCCCATGAGAGTGAGTGTCAAAGATTTGCCGAGCTGCTATTATACGGCGACATATCTGTTAGTAATCGTAGAAGAGGCAGATAGAAGCGTCGCTACAAGGACACATTCAAGACCTACCTCAAACACTGACAAATCGACCCAGAGATCTGAGAAGACCTTGTTCAATATCAGCATTCGTGGTGTACTGCCGAAGAAACTGCAGCAGTCATCTTCGAAGCCAGCCGAATTGCCGCTGTCAAAACAAGGTTAGAGAGAGAGAGGGAGGGAAGGAGGGAGAGGGAAGACCCAGGTGCTACGGACCAAGAAGGCAAGCACTCGACTCCTGACTTCGTGTTCACGCTGTCAGGGGACATTTCGAGCACGGATCGACCTCGTTGGACATCTGTAAACCCACTGCAATTTCAAATCGATCAGTTCACCAGGCATGTAGCAACATAACCATTAATACATCTACCATAATCCTCACCAATGTGAAGGCGCCTATCATTCTCCCAAACATTATCACTACTCACCCTACCACCAGCAATGTGGACTTGATCTCGTCCTATCCAGCATTTCTATCGCTCCTTCACATCAGGCATTGACCTGGTCAGTCACTTGTGAATCCATCGTAGCGAGACCGGCGAAACACTGCCAGGAGCCCCAATACACGCCCATTTCCTTCACTGCCCGAGGGCAATCGATCATTGCATGGGTCTATTCGGTCACAGGCTCCTCCATGCAGTTCTGCTATAAGACCGCACTCCGGACCACATCAGCACACTTTTACCCTAGCTTACAACACACACGCGCATAGACACCCACAAATATCTGGATTACATATGAGCCTCATCCACACCACGCGCTGCAGACCATAGCAATCATAACACTGTTCGACAGCAAATGAGTGACCCGCTTCGCCATCACCGATGTGGCCGGCATAACGTCCCATTTCAGGACTTGCACACCTCACATATGTGTGAAGTAGGCTCTTTAATGTATCATAGTAAATGAAGTGTCGGTTACGTAGTATATAGACTGGCTGTCGTAGCTCCGTCAGTCACTGTGCCCAATCCCGTCACAATCTGTTTGACTGGCTCGGACAGTGGACTGGTGCGTAGGAGAGAGAGAGGGAGAGAGAGAGAGAGAGAGAGAGAGAGAGAGAGAGAGAGGGATATCGACTCTGGGGAATCCATTCCAATGGCAGATCATCGCATTCCTCACTATAATCAG